CCCGCTTACTCGCATTCAGTGAGCTGCTCCACTGATTTCTCCGACTTCAGGCCACCCCTAGTGCTCTGAGGATGGAAAGAAGAGAAAGAGTGGGCCAGGGAAGCCCGGCTAGGGCCTGGCTGGGCTGTGTCTCCCCCTGAGGCTTGGCACCAAGTGGAGACTGGACCCAGCCACCAGCAGGCAGAGCGGCCTCAGCAACGCCAGGCCCCAGCCAGGCCACGCCCAGCCCAGGCCCAGCCCACAGCCCAGGCCCAGCCCACGCCCAGGCCACGCCCAGTCCAGGCCCAGCCCATGCCCAGTCCAGGCCCAGCCCAGCCCATGCCCAGGCCATACCCAGCCCAGGCCCAGCCCAGGCCCAGTCCACACCCATGCCATGCCCAGCCCAGGCCACGCCCAGCCCACACCCAGGCCATGCCCAGCCCAGGCCCAGCCCACGCCCACACCCCGGCCACGTTCAGCCCATGCCCAGGCCAAGCCCCGGCCACACCCAGGCTTCAGGACCAATGGTGACTCCTCGAGTGTTGGGAAGGGACACCCTCAACAATGATGTCACTTCTGATTTGGTATTAACAAAGCCCCAGCACTGCTCAGTGGAGAATTTGAGTCAATAGATCTGTAAAAAGTGGACAGATGCACTGTGAAATTTTACTTGTCCACAAGGAAAAATGAATGACAGGACACCATGTGCAAAGAAACGGATGGATGTGGAACACACGACGTGAAGTCAGGCCTGGAGAGACAAAGCGCACGCCTCTTCTCGCCTGTGTGGAAGCCAGGTGTAACTCACAGATGTGCAAGTAAACACGTGTGGTGTGGTGTGCAAGTGCACACAACCGTATCGGCTGAAGCATGGTGCTGGCAGGGGGACTAAAGGGTATCGTTCCTAAGAGAAAACAGACTCACCATCCCCTGAAACACATACCAGGAAATGTGCTGGCGAGTTGTGGGGGAGGTCAAAGGGAGAGGGAGGGAGGGGGGAGGGCAGAAGAGAGGGAGGGGGGAGGGCAGAAGGGAGGGGGGAGAGGGCAGAAGGGAGGGAGGGGGAGGGCAGAAGGGAGGGAGGGGTGCAGTCATAATATGCGGTACCTGTCCTAGGAAATTAAGAAAATTGAGGGAGGGGTGGCTGGGAGGGACGGGGAGGAGGAAGGGGTGATTGTATTCATAAACTGCTTTGTTTTTGTTTTGTGCCAGTCCTAGGGCTTGAACTCAGGGCCTGGGCGCTATCCCCGAGCTTCTTTTACTCAAGGCCAGCGCTCTACCACTTGAGCCACAGCACCACTTCCAGCTTTTTCTGTCTCTGTGGTGCTGAGGAATTGAACCCAGGCCTCATGCATGCCAGGCAAGTGCTCTACCACTGAGCCACCTTCCCAGCCTAAATGGCTTTGTTGACGGTAACCCCTTTGTACAGTGACTTAAAGATAAGAAGAATGGAATTTTAAATGAAGTGGGCAGGAGCTTGGGTTTGCCTGGACTTGGCTTGTTTTGTTAGGGCCAAAGGAAGGCCCTGGTTTGGGGGCCCAGGAGGGGGGGGGGCAGCAGTGGGAACACGCAAGGTGACACTGCGGCGCTGGGGGCCTGCCTGGGAGAAGAGAGAGCGTGGGGAGCGGTCAGCCCGCGGTCACCTCTGCGGGGTGGCTACAAATGGCCCCGGTGGCCCCTGAGACGTAGGTGCCCCCCGCCAGGTCTTCCCACCATCTCCAGCCCTGCCTCTGAGCGGGGTGGGCGGCCAGGCAAGGCAGGCCCCTCCTCAGGCCCCAGCAGGGCTTTGCCAGCCGCAGAACGCCCCCCCACTCCCGTGGAACACGCTACCTCCCGTGGAACACGCTACCTCCCGTGGAACACGCTACCTCCCGTGGAACACGCTACCTCCCGTGGAACACACTACCTCCCGTGGAACACGCCATCCCCCGCAGACCGGCCCCCTCCCCGCCGCTCCCGTGCAGCTCCCCTGGCCCCGCGGTTACCTCGATGGTGAGAACTTCCACTTGGACGTTGCTCGGGAGACGCAGGTCTGGCCGGAACTGCCGGGCCAGGGCCACGAGGAGGTGCAGCGTGGCCAGCAGATCCTTGTTGAAGATGGCTGAGAGGGGAAGGGGGCACCGTGAGGCCCGGGGGTCCCCAGGGCCTGCAGCCCTTTCCAGAACCCTCTGCAGAGCCTGGGGGCTTGGTCCCGCCTCTTGTCGGAGGACCTGGGAGGACATCTCTCTAGTCATGTGTGTGCCTGCGTGCTTGTGTGTCCGTGTGTGTGTGCGTGCATGTGCCAGTCCTGGGGCCTGAGCCCAGGCCTGGGTGCTGTCTCTGAGCGCTACCACCTGAGCCACAGCTCCACTTCTGGCTAAAGCTTTGGTGGCGAGCCTCACAGGCATTCTTGCCTCACAGGCTTTGAACCACAGTCCTCAACTCTCAGCCCCCTGAGTAGCTAGGACCACGGTGGGGGGGTGGGGGAGCTGCTGGCCCACGGGCCACACTCCACTTTCACGCTGACAATGTTCACACCTCAGGCGGCCAACAGGGTGGCACAAAGCACAAAGCACCAAGCAGCAAGGCAGGGCCTGGTAGAAGAGCAAACAGCCAGCCCCCCAGCCCCCACACTTGGCTCCCAAGCTGGGTTCAGAGGCTACCGCCCGCCTCACACCATCACCTCCGGCCTCGGGGGAGCCACGCAGCAGCCCTCCAGGTCCCGCGGTTCCTCCCCCTGCCCTCCC